CATGGGTAGCTCCTCTTCACTGCCAGAAACACTTAAAGCTGTCTCTCTGTGTGTGTCTATGTGAGTATCATAACCCTAATCAAAGACTTCAGAGTAGATTTATGCCCCTGCCTTTTTCCCGACCTCCATTACACCAGCTTATATACACCCATTACAGGATATGATAAAGCACACACCCTTTAGACGAGCGTAGCTCCACATTGACTTGGTACTGAACAGGGTGTAGGCTGTGCACACACCCCGCTCTCCCATTAGGTCCTTGTCCACCTGTGAGCTCCGTCTCTTTATCTGCCTCCGCCTTGGCCGCTAATAAGGTCAATGAGGAAGAGTAAGAAGCAGATGGTTGTACAGTACATTACGGCACCGCTCAGTTTAGCGTGGGCTAGATAGCAGGCTGGTGATTCATGCTCGGTGAAATGTGTGATGATGTGAGGAGTTTCTACTGCAGTGCAAAGTCAGTGGACTGTGTGGCAAGATGTGCTGATCACTCAGCACTATGCCTCGTTTCATAATATTACCTCGGGGAGTAATTTGACCCATGAGAGGTCTGGACGAAAGAGGAAGTGGATGGGACGCAGGAAGACAGGAGGAGTGAGGTCCAGCATTAAGTGACTAACCTTACGTGTCGCAATAATGCTTTACTTCTGAGTCCTGAGTTCTCTGAAGAGTAGATTCCAAGAGGAAAATGGCTGAATAAAAAAAAAAAACAACAAAAAAAAACAGTAGAATCAACTGATACCAGGCGTTTCGGACTCAAATCAGACTCCAGTCATTGATTTTATTACTTTAGACATAACTTTCAAAATGCTCTGAATCTCATGACTTGACTTAGACTTTTACAACAATCACTGGCGACTTGGATATGACTTGAACCTGTTGATATTTAACCCATGATCTAAAGTTGAAGGAACCTGTTATTTAAAAAGCGTGCACCAGTAATTCATTTTAGTCATCAAACACGCACCGTCTCTGTCTATCTGCACCTCATTTATCCGAGCTGCAGTGCAACAAATCAAATTAACCGGATAATAAAAAAAAAAAAATGAATCCAAATATGCCCTTGAGGAGTGAATTTTTTACAGGTACATAAACTTGAAAGTACTCGACACAAAACAAAATGCTACACGCAAAGCTGAAAGACTGATCATTTCCACTTCGATTGACATTTGAAGTTGCATGAAGGATGTACTTTTCTTTTCTAATGCTAAGGCCCACTTTAGTTAACTTTTTTTTATTAGGAAATGATTATTTGCACTCGTTTTATTACATGTTGAGATAAAATAAGACATTTCAATTATTTACTATTGGAATATTATGGAACTTTTCCAAAAAAAGTTTGAAATTTTAAGTTTCAGAGTTGGGACTACACAAAGAGTTTCCTGTCTTTGTTTGAGACTTGATTCCGGACTTGAGGACAGAGATTTAAAACCCACTTGAGGCCTTGCAAAGCAATGACTTGGTCCAACCTCTGGTTAGAACCGACTCACCAGTATTACCTCCCTGATTATATTCTGGAGGGATTACTAAACCTGTAACCAAAGACAACAAGCAGCTGCTGTTTGGCGTTCCAAGCTATCATCTTCCAGCATCCATCTTGTCTGAGTATGCCGGTAAAGATTCTTAGTCTTCCAGGTCATAGTCATTCAAAAACAGAAAATTAAAAACAATCCACTGGACTTTGTTTGCAAGTTTGAAGACCTTTTGCTTCCCATCCAGAAGGCTTTTTTAATTGTAAATGACTTGAACTCAACGCTATTTCTGACATTTTAAATGAGAAAAATGTTGAGCAGAATCTTGTGAAGACATTAAGACACTCATATAGGTGCTTCAAACATTACTTGTATTTAAATGAATGGATTTGAACAGTGTGAATGAGAAATACCTTAGAGTTGGAGGCTATATGTTGAAACCAGCTGCATTCTCTAAATACTCGCTTGGTTTGAGAACTTAGTTTATCACTTTGTTTGACTCTACCTGATCCATAATAGGTGGTTTCCAGTTACATATCTAATGCTCTTATGTAAAATGGGCTTTAGAGTTTGGACAGCTTTTTGCTCTCTATAAGGGCCAAGGCATCTCAAGTTGTTTAAGTCAGCTAGCTAAAATGCATCTATGGAGTTAATTATGTTCCATTGTTGGTGCAAGCAGAGGACATGATTTTGTGAATTGGAATTTGAAAACAACAAAACAAAATAAAGCAATTCGGGGAAAAAATTGTGCTTCATTCTAAATAAAATTTTGCGAGTAACATTTTTTTGTTTGTTTTTTCCAATTTCATTGCTTTTAAAAAAAATTTTCAGTTGTATTTATTTTTCCAGATTTTCAGTTTTCTATGTTTGTTATGTTTTTCAGATTGAGTTTGTCGAATTGCATTCTTTTCAAATTGTATTTTAAAGATCCCATTTGCAAAAATCTATCTGAATAACGGAATAAAAAAAAATCTATGAAGAAATAAAAAAACAAATAATAAGAAAAAAATAAAATAGAAAATCATAATAATTATTAATAATAATTTGCAGGAAGCAGCAAAGGAAAGACTTTTAACAACCAGTGACTTGAAAACAATAAAAGGAATCAGACATATCCATTAGTAATTTTATGATTTCCCACAAGTTCAGTAATCTTTCAGCTGCTGCTGAAACATTTACTAGTAGAAGGCTGGAACTGATCTTTACCTTCAGTTAAGCAGACTTCACTCATTCTCTTATTGTTAAAGTTTTGGTGGTGATCCAAAACCTCCTCAGGCAGCTTTGCGCATTTTAAATAACTTAATATCAGCTTTAATTTTTTAGCATTTTCCTTTTATTTGCTCAGCCTAAATCGTTGGTTCCTAAAGGTGGGGAGCCAGGTGACAAAGATGTAAATTTGATGTTGAACTATGGTCAAAATGGTTGAAGGTGAATCAACCACCATCCACTTCTAGCTCATTAACTAAATCTTAAAGGATGTCATTGAATTAAAGTTGGTTGAAATGTAATGATTGAAATGCTAACGTCACGTGTTTAACACCAGTGCTAATTCAACTACCTGGTAATGGTATGTTCCGATATAGACCTATCAGCTAAAAAAAAAAAAAAAAACCTTGCTAATCACAATGGCTTTAGAAAATAAGATTTTTATTTTTTAGGTCAAATGTACATAAATCAATTTTAATTCAGTATTAATTCAACACAAATCTACATGTAGATGATTTAAAAGATGGTTTGAATGACCATAATAGCAGTTATGGTTGGAAACCTCACATTGACTCAACTTATTATTATCCGACTGCTCTTGGTATAATATAAATGTCAGGCTTCAACATGGAGCCAATATTTCGGTCTAACCATATTTCAACATTGAATGGCTCATATTTTTCTATCTGGGGATTTGACCCCCTACTTGGGATGTTGAATCAACATGTTTAAGGTGTTGAGATCCTGTTTATAAAAAGAAAAACTAACAGAATAACACATCAGAGGTGATAAAAACTATAATCAACTTAAAAAAAGATGAAATAAATGTAGCAAAATCACTAACTGTACCGCTTTACCAGAGATATTTAATCAACATATAGTTGTGAGGCTTCTGGGGTTTAATTCTTTAGATCCTTTTTTGTTGATTATGTTAAATAAAATCAACTCTCTTTTAAAGAAGTTGTGTTTTTATCATTCTTTAGAGCAAGAGTGTTTTTCCTTTCAGGGATGCAGAATTCAAATTGAGCTTTAAGAGTAAAAAAAAAACGTTACAATTAGTTTTTTAACCACCTCAATCATCAGCAGAGCAGACAGATCAGGTATGGGAAAAAACTTTAGATAAATAACGTATCATCTCAGCGGGAGGCAACCTCAGCAAGAAAAAAAGAAGTATTTTTGTGCTTTAAAAGAGCAGCCCAGTTAACAAGCACACCCAGCAGCCCATCTGCCTGCACACGCTCACTATCCCACAGTCAGTTAAACGTTCAGGTCCTTGTCCGTCTGCAAGCATCTGGCAGCATTCCATTAACAAAGCCACCAGCCATCTCTCCCACCCTCACCCGCTGTCAGTCTCACAGACAAAAAAAAAATGCAGACACATAAACATCCAACAGTTCACCTGTTCTTGCCTCAGAGGAAAAGAAAAAGTTAGATCCTCTCATGAAACCGCTTTTATTGTTTCCCCAGAAGGCATGGCTTGTACGCCTCTGAAAATCACTCACAGTAGCAACACAGGAGGCGGGGTTGAATGCCTCGATGGCGTTTTTGTGTACCCACTCCGGGTAGCTGGAATAAAAAGCAGCAGAACTTTCTCCCTTTAAAAGTGTGCACTTGTCTGCGCTAATTTCTAAAACTGGATGAGGCAGAAAGACAAGATTGAGGCCATCATTAGGAGTTCACAGCCTTCGCGTTCTTGTGTGAAGGTTTGTTTTGTTTTGCTGCAAGTGTGTGTGCGTGCGCTCCGCGTGCGTACGTCTACGCTCTCCCACGCTTCAGCTTCCTAACGATGGCAAATGCTCCCGTGTGTTTGCGAGGCGTTGTTTCTCCAAAAAAAAACAAAAAAAAACAACAACACATCCAGGAACGGCTCGTTTTGTCAGGTTTTTTGGCGCAGGGAACGTGCTCTAATTAGGGAGGCCCCTCTGAAGGCGCATCAAACAGATCCGTCTCAAAGACCAACCTGATCCCAGCTTGCACACAGTACACACATGCCATATCTGATTATTGGAGAAATGTGTGTGTTATTTAACTATATAGGGGAGTATTAAGGGCCTTGTCAGTTTAGATTTGATGCTCGTCTGATCCTTATCTACAAGCGCCACAACCTGCATTCATGAGTACGAAAAAAAAAAAGTTTCTGCTATAGGTGTTGCTTAAAGTGTGAAAAGTTCATCACCGAAGCTCTTAGTGAATATAAATATAAACACACTAAGTGCCATGCTGTTACCTTCTTAGCAGGCTTTCCTGATCAGATAACTATTTCATTCAATGCATTCTGGTCTTTTTAGTTTAATCTTTTGCTGCTCCTCTCTTTTTTCCATACAGGTGACAGTGATGATGGTGGAATCAGCCTCTGAGACCATTCGAACAACACCGTCCAACCAAAACGGAGTCAGTAGCCTTAGCAGCCAATCAGACGGAGGGGGAGGCAGAGAAGGCGGGTCCAATGGAGACACCAATGGAGAGATCAGTCCGGTTGACTTACTGCACCTGCAGCAGCAACAGGTAGGGGTGTGTGTGTGTGCGTGTGTGTGTGTGTGCACGCCTACGGACTGTTTATGCTTTGGGCCCCTTTGTGTGCTTCTGTTCACTTAGGATGAATGCAACCGACAACATGTTGAGTGAAAGAGTTGCTTTACGACATCTGCAACTTGTGCAACATACTTATGTTCACTAAATTGTGCTGAACAGTTTGTACACAACAGGACTGGGCGTGTTTGTCATTCTCACATTGTGCAAAACCTTCAAACTTCAAAACATTTTTCTCTTTTTCATGGCTGTCTTATCAAACAATTACGCAACCATTTTAAAGCATCTTTTTTTACTGGACTGCTTTTGGGTAAAAACTGTAAAGCAGAAATCTCTTTAACAGCTACTGTTGTAATATATTTTATTGTGGCTATTTATCTGTAGTTGGGTTTTAATTTTTCTATTAAATCTAAGCTCTAAAATAGGAACTGCTTGTTAAGAAATCATTCATTTTCTTATAGGTGTGTGAAGGCAGCTGAAAAAGGCATTATGGTCAGCTGAGATTTTTTAATTGTTTAGCAATCTTAGGTACACCCTTGTGTCTGTTCTGACCTTATTCAGTGGGGTAGCAAACAAGGAGCTTGTGCATGCCATTTTATGTTTGTAGATCCTGCTGTCCTGCGTTTAACCTTCTGTCTAAATGCTTTACTTTGTAAAATATGAAGTATTGGCCAGCATTGTCACAGAAAAGAGTAAAAAATCAGTTCATTTCCTTTGACTTTTTGAACCGATCAAAATGTAGTTCTCTACCTTCGAAAGAAGCAACAATTCATGCAAACATTTTTTTAAAATAAATATTTGAAGTTTTAACCAAAAAAAAGTGAAACCTCGACTGACGAGCAACAGATGTGGGAGGGGGGCAATTTAATAGCTTTAAAGGCTTTAAACTGCAGGGATGGTATAGTTCAACATTTATCTGTAAAGAAAATAAAACAAAAATCTAACTTATTTAAAAAAAAAAAACTGTGTTATTAAAAAATGAGCATATGCCTAGAGCACGCCAAGCTCTGATGTAATGTACAGATGTGACAGGCTCTGGTTATCATAAATCTTGCCTTTGTGAGCAGTGAAAAGCTTTGACAGGTTTGTTCGTTGATGTTTTAATTGTCCTCCACTCATAATGTCCCGTCTAACTCCACTGGGACCCGGTTCACCATATAAAATGGTGCACATGAGGTTCCTGTTGATATATTATTGCCTGAAAACAGAAAAGAATGAAAGAAACTCTCTTAAAATCATCACCTGACTGACAAAACTCCAAAGACAAATCAGATGCATAAGGAAGTTTGAACTGTTTTGTCATAGATTTGGGAGGCAGCTTTTTTAACCAAATTTCTTTTTTTCCAATGATTCATGAAGTGGTGTTTGCTTGTGTTTGACACGTCAGCTTGAAACATCAGCGGTTAATGCTGTTTTTTTTTCTCTTGTGTGAACGGCCAACTCTTACACAAATATTCAGACTCACTTTGGCCATTGTGTCAAAACCTTTCCTGGAAACATCTTGGAACACATTTTTTCACTTGTTTTTTTCTTCCTTCTTTAAAAATACAAATAACTTTCTGCTGACTGCTTTGCTGAAGGACCTGGGCCTTTACAAAAAGGTGTACAAACCACGCACGAAGCCCAAATGCTACATCTACAGAATTTAGAGCTGGACAAATAATTGGCATTTGAAATATAACTACAATAAAAATAATAATAAATAAATTATATTCTGAAATTGAAGATGCAATTGATTTTTGCTTGCTTTGTGTTTATATAGAGTAAAGGGCGGATTAGACTTCTGAAAGCACACACATCAAATGTTGCTTGGGTCTGGTCGCGATCTAGTTTTGCTGGTATGCTTCTACACCGTCTCTCTGGAATTTCTAGGGACGCACAGCAGTTTACAGCTAAAGCGCAATGGAGAGCTTATTCGAGAACTCGCTAGAACTTCAGCGGATTGTCACGAGAACTTTGTTTTGACAGAGACCTTGGCATCTATCTATAATTTGTCTGAGGCATTGTACAAGTGGTTGTACTCCCAAACCTCCTCGATTAACCTTTTGTCGTAGTTGTCAATCATAGTTGTTCCTTGGTTTTTAAAAATGGCGCGCTCCGGCACCGAATCACGAAGGACGACCACACAGACAGCCATACCAAGGACCAATCACAGCTGCTTTTTGTCTGCACACTTCCGTTTGAGGTCTGTGCGGGTTTGCAACTGTTTGACGCATTGCAGAACCTCTGCGTGTGGGCGGGGGGCGTGGTCGCGCACAGAGACAGATTTGACAGTTGCAGGAGCTATGCGTCAGAAACATAAATTGGCCTTAAGACACCATGGTTTGTATGTTTGTAATCACCTGAAAATCGTGTGTTAGTGTTTTGCTTCAGCTAAAACCAGCCAAAGTGTGAAAGTACCTGTCCTGTATTTAGTGGAAAAGGAACGCACTTTGTCCCGTATTACTGTGGGAGTGAAAAAATAGTCTGTAAAAGCTAATGGAAAATGAAGAACAAGGGCACGTTAGATACAAAACTTACGGTAAACTCATGCCCCGTCCACACGAAGCCGAACCCTGGCCTAAACGCACAAATTTTTCACCAAACCAGCCTCTCATCCATACAAAGCCGGCGTTTCGGGGGTCTGTAAACGATCTTTTTTTTAATTCAGCCTTCAGAGTGGGAAGATTTTGAAACGACCGTTTTCGCGTCTCCATCTTTAAGCTCTAAGTGCATTTTTTTTTTTACATGCATGCGTCATAGCGTCGCCTCTAAACACGCATGCGCGACACAGTATCACAACAACAATGGCGCCGTACTGTGTTGAATGGTTGCTGCTCATGCTACTCACCCTGCTGTCGGGCTTACAACAGAATCTTCTTCTTCTGGAATATCTCCAGGAAGAACAGAGCAATATCGACGACAGTTCAGCACCTGAATTTGACTAAACCACGAAAATGGACCCGCAGGGCAACCATGTATAAATATTAGTGCGCATGCCCAACATTTCGTCGCCTATTTTTGCTTTGGCACGACAGCACCACTTACAGGCCTGGCATACATTTTGCAGCGTTTTCATGCATTCGTGTGGACGATCACATTTATTTTACGTCTCCGTCTTTACGACAAACGTTCTGGAAAATATTAGCGTTTCGTGTTCGTTTTGACTTCGTGTGGACCGGGCCTTATTCCCTGTCCTGCGTTGTGACCAATGAGCTGACAACATATATGTAACGTTCCAGGCCCCGTCCACACGAAGCCAAACCCTGGCCTAAACGCACAAATTTTTCACCAAACCAGCCTCTCATCCATACGAAGCCGGCGTTTCGGGGGTCTGTAAACGATCTTTTTTTTATTAAGCCTTCAGAGTGGGAAGATTTTGAAACACCGTTTTCGCGTTTCCATCTTTAAGCTCTAACCACATTTTGTTCTTACACGCATGTGTCATAGCGTCGCCTCTAAACACGCATGCGCGACACAGTATCACAACAACAATGGCGCCGTACTGTGTTGAATGGTTGCTGCTCATGCTACTCACCCTGCTGTCGGGCTTACAACAGAATCTTCTTCTTCTGGAATATCTCCAGGAAGAACAGAGCAATATCGACGACATAGTTCATCACCTGAATTTGACTGAACCACTAAAATGGACCCGCAGGGCAACAATGTATAAATATTAGTGCGCATGCCCAACATTTCGTCGCCTATTTTTGCTTTGGCACCACAGCGCCACTTACAGGCCTGGCATACATTTTGCAGCGTTTTCATGCATTCGTGTGGATGATCACATTTATTTTACGTCTCCGTCTTTACGACAAACGTTCTGGAAAATATCAGCGTTTCGTGTTCGTTTTGACTTCGTGTGGATGGGGCCCCAGAACGATCCAGGTTGGTTGTTTTTGTCAAAAACTATTTGACCATGTGTCATTTTGTAGCAGACATGAAGAAATCATTGCTTTTCAAATGATGTTTCTTGGACATTTAAAAAGAAAGTTATTAATATTTACATTTAGAAAAATGAATTGCTGTTCCTCTTCCAGGCATGTACTAAGCTCAACATCAGAATCACAACCAGACACTTAATTTTCGTTGCTTTCTCTGTGATTTTAATCTCTTCTCCGTAGTTTTTTTTATTAGCACTTTATGGCGCATACATTTTTCCCTGTAATTGTGGTTGGTAGACTTACTAATAGAAAAAAGAAACAGAGGCCATGTGTAACGTAGTTTTGATACTCTAAAAATAATTGCAGAAATGAGCACAATTTCGGCACATAGTATTAGTTTAGTTGATATTTTCTTAGAAATCACCAGTGGCCACATTTTTAGTGTCCTTCTGGTCTCAAAGAATCAGTGTGAGTTCTGGGCTGGTTTAAAACCCGCCTGCAATGTCTTGGGTAAAAAGGGGGAGTAAGGTTTCCTCCCAGCTAAAATGACTCCCACTAATTATTACGCTGGAGCCTTAGATGAGTGAAGAACACTTGAAGCCCTTCACTCCCGTCCCTCTTCTCCCTCCTCTTTCTCCCCATGACTGCATCCTCACCCTGCTTTCTCAGCATGCTCCGGGACACACACTTATGCACAAACACACAAGTATTAACACCAAACCTTCAGCTGATACAAAGCAGGTCTTTATTCTCATGGATGTGTCTACGTTCTCTATGTTTTTGCACCTGTGTGTGCGCGCACCTGGTATTTCCTCTTTTGAGCACGTTACCAACCACAAGCCTCGCTCCTTTTGGCTCGCCATCTTTTTTTTTAAATAGTTCTTCCCCTCTCTAATGTTACTTTTTTTTTTTTTTTGGACCACGAAAGACAAGCAAAACCTTTCCTCCAGATTCCAACACTCTCCATTTTGTCAGTTTGTGTTGAATCCTCATTTCTGTATGTAACATATTATTTTATATATATCAAACCTTTTATTTCATTTGTATGTATATCATAACAACTCTTGTTTTTTTTTTCTTTCTCCAACAGTTGGAATTGGCTGTCTGTGCCAT